TTCAACTGTACTCAGCATGGGAACATAACACATGGCAACGGTACTCATGGCAACGGTACACATGGCAACGGTACTTATGGCAACATGACGCATGGTAGTATCAGTCATGTTCTGAGCCAGGGCTATGGCCAGTTCAACACCCTGAAAACGGACTTGATGAAAACTGGAGTCTGGAGCGAGCTCGAGAATAAGTAAAATGCTTACGTCTTGCAGACATTTTGCCACCGTTTAGACATTTTTCTCATCAATATTTAGCTGTTCTGAATGAATACTGGTGTAATCGTTAGCATAAGCCACATTAATTTAACATATTCTGGTAGAACGGACACACCAACTTTACTTTGACAGAAAGAAGCCCTTTCCGTGTTGAAAGACAAAGAGAAACACGTGTTGCTGAACATATCTCTTCCGTAAATACATAATGTATCATTTGTCTTCCGGTAGGACCTCAAGTGACCCTCCTCGCTCCGACCAATACAGCGTTCAGCAAGCTCCCGATGGCCTACAGGAACAACCTGGACAATCACGCCAATTTTCTGAAGAAGGCGTACATCTCTTTGTTTGCTGTTGCACAAAACCCTCCCGCCTTGCTGAATACTAACTGAATGTTTTTCAAATGGTATTTATACACATCTGCATAACCAACGGCCATATCAGGCACAGTATCGATGGTATTTTCAGGTACAATGATGTACCACATCCTGAACGGCATCCGCGCCCCTGAGTCCCCGCACCAGAACGACATGATCACCTCCCTAGGGGGACAGCGAATCAACGTGTCCATGCAGAACGGTGAGATATATACCATGGAAAACACAAGTCCTGTACACATGGTAGACACTGAGCATTTCAACATGATAAGCACAAGGCCTTTAAGCATGATAGACACAAAGCATGGACACATGGTAGACACTGAGCATTTCAACATGATAAGCACAAGGCCTTTAAGCATGATAGACACAAAGCATGGACACATGGTAGACACTGAGCATTTCAACATGATAAGCACAAGGCCTTTAAGCATGATAGACACAAAGCATGGACACATGGTAGACACTGAGCATTTCAACATGATAAGCACAAGGCCTTTAAGCATGATAGACACAAAGCATGGACACATGGTAGACACTGAGCATTTCAACATGATAAGCACAAGGCCTTTAAGCATGATAGACACAAAGCATGGACACATGGTAGACACTGAGCATTTCAACATGATAAGCACAAGGCCTTTAAGCATGATAGACACAAAGCATGGACACATGGTAGACACTGAGCATTTCAACATGATAAGCACAAGGCCTTTAAGCATGATAGACACAAAGCATGGACACATGGTAGACACTGAGCATTTCAACATGATAAGCACAAGGCCTTTAAGCATGATAGACACAAAGCATGGACACATGGTAGACACTGAGCTTTTCAATATGATAAGCACAAGGCCTTTAAGCATGATAGACACAAAGCATGGACACATGGTAGACACTGAGCTTTTCAATTTGATAAGCACAAGGCCTTTAAGCATGATAGACACAAAGCATTGGTTGATCATATTGTTTGTCATGAGCTTAGCACTTTGGAAAGCATGGAAACTGTGGCCAAGCAAAGTCTGAAAATGATTACAATTTGTTTGCACTTGAATTATTTTCTTGAATTGTGTCAGTATTCAAGTGAGCGAACTGGTCGCCTGTTCTGATAAAGAGGTTTTTCATCAAGTTGTTCTTCCAAATTCGAATGGAAACGTTTGCACTTGAAATTCCTTTGGCAGATCATATTTGGGTGTGAACATAACGTTGGGTGTGGCGACATTATGTCCCACTCCTAGCTTGCTATCATATGTGCTGCTTCTACACCATGTTTCTGGAGTCTGTTCATATATGGAAAGTAACGGTTATTACCAAGGCTCTGGTCACGTTCTTCAGTACCGTTAGCTCTGGACTACATGTCGGTTATTACCAAGGCTCTGTTCACGTTCTTCAGTACCGTTAGCTCTGGACTACATGTCGGTTATTACCAAGGCTCTGTTCACGTTCTTCAGTACCGTTAGCTCTGGACAACATGTCGGTTATTACCAAGGCTCTGGTCACGTTCTTCAGTACCGTTAGCTCTGGACTACATGTCGGTTATTACCAAGGCTCTGGTCACGTTCTTCAGTACCGTTAGCTCTGGACTACATGTCGGTTATTACCAAGGCTCTGGTCACGTTCTTCAGTACCGTTAGCTCTTGACTACATGTCGGTTATTACCAAGGCTCTGGTCACGTTCTTCAGTACCGTTAGCTCTTGACTACATGTCGGATGTTTCCCAACAGGCTATGAATCAGTTGGCTATATCCTTCACGTGCCAAGCAGCCCTATTGTGTGAAGTAGAGCAGGAGTAACATGTCACAGTGATGCACAACGTGGAAATAAAATGATTCTGCGGCTACATCTTCACTCCTCAAACTTATCAATCGGGCCCTAGAACTATACAGTTCTAAACTGACTTACCACACATGCATCTGCACTAAATTCTTCTACATTCACTTAACACACATGTATCAGCACTAAACTCTTCTACATTCACTTAACACACATGTATCACCACTAAACTCTTCTACATTCACTTAACACACATGTATCACCACTAAACTCTTCTACATTGACTTAACACACATGTATCAGCACTAAACTCTTCTACATTCACTTAACACACATGTATCACCACTAAACTCTTCTACATTCACTTAACACACATGTATCACCACTAAACTCTTCTACATTCACTTAACACACATGTATCACCACTAAACTCTTCTACATTCACTTAACACTCATGTATCAGCACTAAACTCTTCTACATTCACTTAACACAAATGTATCAGCACTAAACTCTTCTACATTCACTTAACACACATGTATCAACACTAAACTCTTCCACATTCACTTAACACACATGTATCACCACTAAACTCTTCTACATTCACTTAACACACATGTATCACCACTAAACTCTTCCACATTCACTTAACACTCATGTATCAGCACTAAACTCTTCTACATTCACTTAACACTCATGTATCAGCACTAAACTCTTCTACATTCACTTAACACACATGTATCACCACTAAACTCTTCTACATTCACTTAACACACATGTATCACCACTAAACTCTTCTACATTCACTTAACACTCATGTATCAGCACTAAACTCTTCTACATTGACTTAACACATATGTATCACCACTAAACTCTTCTACATTCACTTAACACTCATGTATCAACACTAAACTCTTCTACATTCACTTAACACACATGTATCAACACTAAACTCTTCTACATTGACTTAACACACATGTATCACCACTAAACTCTTCCACATTCACTTAACACTCATGTATCAGCACTAAACTCTTCTACATTCACTTAACACTCATGTATCAGCACTAAACTCTTCTACATTCACTTAACACACATGCATCAACACTAAACTCTTCTAAGTTGACTGAACGCACACACACACATCAGCACTAAACTCTTCTACATTCACTTAACACACATGCATCAACACTAAACTCTTCTAAGTTGACTGAACGCACACACACACATCAGCACTAAACTCTTCTACATTCACTTAACACAAATGTATCAGCACTAAACTCTTCTAAATTGACTGAACGCACACACACACATCAGCACTAAACTCTTCTACATTCACTTAACACTCATGTATCAGCACTAAACTCTTCTACATTGACTTAACACACATGTATCACCACTAAACTCTTCTACATTCACTTAACACACATGTATCAGCACTAAACTCTTCTACATTGACTTAACACACATGTATCAGCACTAAACTCTTCTACATTCACTTAACACACATGCATCAACACTAAACTCTTCTAAGTTGACTTAACGCACACACACACATCAGCACTAAACTCTTCTACATTAACACAGATTGTATCCCAGGCCTGTATCATGTATCTATGATTTGTTTTGAATATTCTATAATCTCGACTAGATGGATTGTATTACGAGATTGTATCCCGATTCTATGAATTGTATTGTTAGACTATAATCCGACTATACAGTTTGTTTTATAAGACTTTAATCCAACAATACAGATTGTTTTATAAGACTTAACACGAATCTATGAATTGTTTTCAAAGACTTTAATCCAACTATACAGATTGTTTTATAAGACTTAACACGATTCTATGAATTGCATTATAAGAATATCTCGACAATATGAATTGTATTGTTACACTATGATCCGACTGTACGGATTAGTATCAGGCTGTATCATGAATCAATGAATATAACATATGTTATATTTAGTTATATGTTGTATCCGACTGTACGGATTAGTATCAGGCTGTATCATGAATCAATGAATATAACATATGTTATATTTAGTATTACACTTTCTTAGTAAAGTACAGATTCTAGTACTTTTTGGTAGGTTGAGTCCCATCCGGGATTCGAACCCACACCCTCAGAGTCAGGCACCTTATCGCCAGCACATAACCTATGAATAGTTTTTCAGGACTATACTCCAACTATACGGATATATATATATAACAAGACTCTATACCTACGTACTGCATCCAGTAATGAGCAGTGGGTCACAGCAAACTGAAGACACTGACCAATGTCATTTTAACCATGGGGAAAAGTGAAGTTCAATCGAAATTGCTAATAAGTTGAATAAATATGGCACACCTGTTTACGCAGATAGTCTTACCTATACTACGTATCTAGTATAAGTTAATCGATCTCCTCGTTCTAGCTCCACAACACCAGGTTTGTGACTCACAGGCTGAGTCTGCTTAAAAGTAGCACAAGATGTCCCGGTATACTCGGGAAACCAGTAAACCGGTGACATGCAAACAAATGTCACGAAAAACGTGTTGGTGTCCGTATACATGCCGACAAGACGCGCTCCACTGACTCCACTAGCTGAATGTGTATTGTTGCTGTACCTGGCCGCTAGAGGGCTCTTTATATCTAGGTCACCTCAGGTAGATGTTTACCTGATTACATAGGACGCGCGACACGGGTGCGGAGTTGTGAAAATGGGTGTTTTGGTCGAGAAAGAAGTATATCCAACGACACCGCCCTGAGTTGGAGATTTATACAATTACCAGGATGAAACAGATGTTGGAAAGTGTGTCGGGTGTGTTCGCTGGGGTAATGTGTTGCATGGTGTCGATGACTTACGGCGCAGACTACTGTTATGTACAAGCTCCGTCGTGGACATCCAACACATCCCAGGTAAGACTATCCCTCTTCATCAGCCTGAGGGAGAGCCAGAACGGAATGTGTGGCGACATATCACGACATGCTCTGCAGACATACGTGGCAGTCGGCTGGGTCATCGACAAACTCAACAAGGGATTTATTCCTGGAATCATGTTTGGTAAGCTGCCATTGTTACTTGTGATCACCAGACACTATTGTAACAAGGTTTATTCATATAGGATACAACTCGGAATGTACACATGTTGACATGTTCAGGGAGGTATTTGCGTGGTTATTAGCAAGTCGCACTGGCGAGCAGCCATGCGTGTCACGTATAGACAACAACACGGGCCACACCACGATGTGGTCTGTCTCAGGTAACATCAGACCGGTGTGACGTGTTGGCCTGTCTCAGGTAAGAGCCGCTCCCCTGACACCACTCAGCCGACACTGCGTCTCTCTGGCCAGAGGGACAAGGCAGGTGGCAGGCAGCTCCTGATGGCGTCCATATACCTTGTTTAGTAGCAGGAAGTTATCGCGGAAAACAGAACATGGCGACTCACAAACAACACTTAGGTCGAGGTGACTCACTGAAACAAGAGATCGATCAGAGCATATGTATATTGGTACCCTATAGGTCAATAATCGTACTCACTCCTGGAATTGATGTGATCTTACATTCAAGCACTGGTAGACAGATATCACTCTCTGGGAATATGGGAAACATGCATCTCGCACTCAACGTAGTAACACATGATTTACAGGAATCGCACATTCTACATGCTTTTAACATTATAATATACATGTATCACCCATTTTACATGCAGTTAACAGTATAATATACAGGAATTACACATTCTACATGCCTTTTACATTACAATATACAGGTATCACACATTTCACTTGCCTTTAAAATTACAATATACAGGTATCACACATTTCACATGTTCTTAATAAAACAATACACAGGTATCACACATTTCACATGTCTTCAACATTACAATATACAGGTATCACACAGTCTACAGGTGCTCAACATTACAAGATACAGTTATCACACAATCTACATGTTCTTAATAAAACAATACACAGGTATCACACATTTCACATGCCTTCAACATTACAATATACACTTATCACACATCATATGTGTTCTTAACATTACAATATACAGGTATCACACATTCTACATGCTCTTAACATTAAAATATACAGGTATCACAGATTCCACACGTGCTCAACATTACAATATACAGGAATTACACATTATGCATGCCTTTAAGATAACAATATACAGGACTTCTACATGTTCTTAACATTAAAATGTACAGGTATCCAACATTTTAAATGCCTTAAAAATTAGAATAAACAGGTATCACACATTCTACATGTTCTTAACATTACAATATGCAGGTATCACACATTCTACAAGTCGTTTACATTACAATATACAGGTATCACACATTTCACATGCCTTCAACATTACAATATACAGGTATCACACATTTCACATGCCTTTACCATTACAATATACAGGTATCACACATTTCACATGCCTTCAACATTACAATATACAGGTATCACACATTTCACATGCCTTTGACATTATAATATACAGGTATCACACATTTCACATGCCTTTAACATTACAATATGCAGGTATCACACATTTCACATGCCATAACATTACAATATACAGGTACATGTATCACACATTCTACAAGTCGTTAACATTACAATATACAGGTATCACACATTTCACATGCCTTCAACATTACAATATACAGGTATCACACATTTCACATGCCTTTACCATTACAATATACAGGTATCACACATTTCACATGCCTTCAACATTACAATATACAGGTATCACACATTTCACATGCCTTTGACATTATAATATACAGGTATCACACATTTCACATGCCTTTAACATTACAATATGCAGGTATCACACATTTCACATGCCATAACATTACAATATACAGGTACATGTATCACACATTCTACAAGTCGTTAACATTACAATATACAGGTATCACACATTTCACATGCCTTCAACATTACAATATACAGGTATCACACATTTCACATGCCTTTAGCATTACAATATACAGGTATCACACATTTCACATGCCTTTAAAATTACAATATACAGGTATCACAAATTTTACATGCCTTTACCATTACAATATACAGGTATCACACATTTCACATGCCTTCAACATTACAATATACAGGTATCACACATTTCACATGCCTTTGACATTATAATATACAGGTATCACACATTTCACATGCCTTTAACATTACAATATGCAGGTATCACACATTTCACATGCCATAACATTACAATATACAGGTACATGTATCACACATTCTACAAGTCGTTAACATTACAATATACAGGTATCACACATTTCACATGCCTTCAACATTACAATATACAGGTATCACACATTTCACATGCCTTTAGCATTACAATATACAGGTATCACACATTTCACATGCCTTTAAAATTACAATATACAGGTATCACAAATTTTACATGCCTTTACCATTACAATATACAGGTATCACACATTTCACATGCCTTTAACATTACAATATACAGGTATCACACATTTCACTTGCCTTTAAAATTACAATATACAGGTCCACACATTTCACATGCCTTCAACATTACAATATACAGGTATCACACATTTCACATGTCTTTAACATTACAATATTCAGGTATCACACATTTCACATGCCTTTAACATTACAATATTCAAGTATCACACATTCTACAAGTCGTTAACATTACAATATGCAGGTATCACACATTCTACAAGTCGTTAACATTACAATATGCAGGTATCACACATTCTACAAGTCGTTCACATTACAGTATAGATGCATCACACATTCTACAAGTCGTTAACATTACAATATACAGGTATCACACATTCTGCATGTCGTTAACATTACAGTATAGATGTATCACACATTCTACAAGTCGTTAACATTACAATATGCAGGTATCACACATTCTGCATGTCGTTAACATTACAGTATAGATGTATCGCACAATCTACGTGCTCTTAACATTACAGTGTACAGGTATCCCACATTCTACATATTCTTAAAATTACAGTATACATTCTACAGCATTCTACATGTTCTAAACATAACAATATACATGTGTCACACAGTCACACGATATAAATTTATCATACATTCTACATGCCTTTAACACTACAATATACAGGTATCACACATTCTGTACTATGAGCAGAAATTATTGAGAATTTTTGGAACATGTTTAATTGGATTTCTCCGTTAATCCTTTTTCATTAGTTTGTGAAGAGTTATCCCCCTTTGTTTACTTGCTAGCAGACGACATTTTCAGTGATTCTCAGTATGGATGATTTAGAGAAGAGGAAGTTGATCTTAGAGTATTATAACAAGGACATCAGATCAGCTAAAGTGATTTCAAGTAGAACAGGCATCCCTTTGTCCACTGTTTATCGTGTTTTGCTTGTGTTGTGAAGGATTGTTTTCAACTGTGTACTTGTAGGATCGTGTTTTGCTTGTGTTGTGAAGGATTGTTTTCAAATGTGTACTTGTAGGATCGTGTTTTGCTTGTGTTGTGAAGGATTGTTTCAACTGTGTACTTGTAGGATCGTGTTTTGCTTGTGTTGTGAAGTATTGTTTTCAACTGTGTACTTGTAGGATCGTGTTTTGCTTGTGTTGTGAAGTATTGTTTTCAACTGTGTACTTGTAGGATCATGTTTTGCTTGTGTTGTGAAGTATTGTTTTCAACTGTGTACTTGTAGGATCATGTTTTGCTTGTGTTGTGAAGGATTGTTTCAACTGTGTACTTGTAGGATCGTGTTTTGCTTGTGTTGTGAAGTATTGTTTTCAACTGTGTACTTGTAGGATCGTGTTTTGCTTGTGTTGTGAAGTATTGTTTTCAACTGTGTACTTGTAGGATCGTGTTTTGCTTGTGTTGTGAAGTATTGTTTTCAACTGTGTACTTGTAGGATCGTGTTTTGCTTGTGTTGTGAAGTATTGTTTTCAACTGTGTACTTGTAGGATCGTGTTTTGCTTGTGTTGTGAAGGATTGTTTTCAACTGTGTACTTGTAGGATCGTGTTTTGCTTGTGTTGTGAAGTATTGTTTTCAACTGTGTACTTGTAGGATCGTGTTTTGCTTGTGTTGTGAAGAATTGTTTTCAACTGTGTACTTGTAGGATCGTGTTTTGCTTGTGTTGTGAAGTATTGTTTACAACTGTGTACTTGTAGGATCGTGTTTTCTCAGTGTAGTGAAGATTCGTGGTTTTTCAGTCCACGCATGGGATAGTTACACCGAACATACTGAAGGCAGTAGGAAATATCTAATTGAATAAAATATATCTAAAATGAATAATTGATGTTTTTTAATGTGTTTGTGGGTATGTATTGACCATTTCAGGACATCTTGAATTGAATATGTTATCTTTAGCTACTTTCAAATATGATTATGGACTATGTGATAACTGAGTTATTGAAATTTAAACACATTTAGAGATATCACGAACTATTCCCTTGATGCATTTTCTGATACCATTCTGAATATCAGAAATTAATTTACGATGTCATATTATTTGTTGACATCTTGAACAGACTATTAATATATTTAAATATACTCAAAGGCAAGAGTTAGTGTGATCAACACATTTGTTTGTATAAATGAGAACATTTGTATAACGCATTTTAATATTCTTTCTAATACACCTAATCCATAACCCAAACAATTTCCTGTTGGTAGTTTTTACTTTGTGTGCGCTTTTCGTCTTTTCAAGAAGTCCGTGGGAATAAAAGCATAAAACGTGCCCTTTAAAAAGTGTGGCTCTAAATCTCGAATCATGTCACCCAAATCATTGTTTAGACGTCGACGGGTCCTAAAAACACAAATTTGGAAGAATCTGCTTGCTTTTCTCTATGCCACGGCTAACTGAAAATGAAAGATGGCGAGTCACTGGAATGTCACTGAAGAGCACGTGAGTGGTGACATGTTCTCTTCATTCAGTCTAGATTCCTCTTGCACCGCGCTGATGACCGAACCAGAGTTTACCGGCGACGTGGTGAGCGTTATGTTAGGAACTGAGTCGTTGAGGCCGACCGTTTTGGCGGCGGTGGAGTGATGGTTTGGGGTGGGATAACGAGTGCTGGACGTCCACCTTAGCTTGTCATCAATGGAAATTTAACGGGTATCACGTACAGAGACGATATTGTTAATCCAGTCGTCATCATTACGTTTCTCCATCAGAATGGCCCAGAACAACGCCAGACCTAATGTCGCCAGGGTGGTTCAGCAGTTCTTGGCGCAGCACAAAGTTACGTCCTTCACTGGCCCGCTAAACCCCAATATCTGTCCCCTATCGAACAATTCTGGGACTCTGCCAAGTGCTTCCACAGATATGGAAATGCCATTCCACTAGACTTCTTGAGACGTTTGATTGGCTGTATGAGGCGCAGCTGTCAAATATGCATCAATGCTCATGGTGGAAAAGTAAAATGCGTCATTTTCAATCCTATTGTTGAATGATTCTCTTGCAATCTTATCACAAAAATACCAGTTGTTAATTCACATATCTAACTTCAAGTCAATCACAATAACCTTTGTCTTAGAGTATATAATATAGGTATCTTGAATTTGTTCACCACCCAGTTAAAGTTTACCACACACGTAAGTATACAGATATATATATATATATCACACACACACACACACACACACACATACACATATATACCATATACAAGAAACAATCAGTAAATTCGTGATGAATATTAGAACGGCTTGCCACAGGTACACTTACAAAATGACGGAATTCGTCCAACGGATGCTGTTAATTGCTTTTGTTCAACTCAAACAGTTTCTGTTCACAATTACAAAATCGGTGGCTCAGGATTCCCGTGTAAGACGATTTCATTGCAACGGTCATTCGTCACTTCCAGACGTGAAGCTCTACGACGACTGCCAGAATCCTCTGTATGTGGTCCACAACGCTCTTGATGTTATCAGCCCATCGCTCTCAGGCATTATCAACTGTACCAAGGACGATCCATCTGTCCACCTAGGTAAATCTTCAGCTACGAGCCAATTCCATAGATATAAAGTCTATAAATATAAACGTGGAAAAGCCATTGTGAAACCAAGCAATAAAGTAATGTGATATAATTAACATTTATATTCTAATTTCCACGCCGTTAACACATCACTACAATGGAACTGCAAAGGCAATATCATCAATGTCCTCCCATATCCCCCACAATTCCCTCACATCATCCACTGTCCTCCTAATCCTTGTCTGTTCTCCCACATCTCTCACTATTCTCTTACATCCTTGACTGTTCTCTCACATCTCTCCTGCATCCTTGACTGTTCTCTCACTATTCTCCTGCATCCTTGACTGTTCTCTCACATCTCTCACTATTCTCCTTCATCCTTGACTGTTCTCTCACATCTCTCACTATTCACCTGCATCCTTGACTATCCTCTCACATTCTTTACTGTCCCATCTGATCTAACCTGATCCAATCAGATTTTTCACTGTCTTCTCACATCCTTCTCTGTCCTCTCACATCCTTCACTGTGTCATGAAATCATTCACTGTTCTCTCACATTATTCACTATCCTATCACATCCTTTACTGTGCTATGAAATCATTAACTGTTCTCTCACAACCTTCACTGACACCTCCTCTTTCTCCTGATTCTGTTTATCGTTTAGTATCCTCTGGCATCCTTCTCGGCACTATCAAGTCCTTCACTATCCTTTCACATCCTTCACTGCCCTATCCAATAATTCACTACCCTCTCACGTCATTAAATGCCTTGTACTCTCCTCTTCATAAGGGCTCCAGAAGTCTGCCAAAACGGCAATCATGTCCTCCTTAATTGGTGACATCGTCCACTCATACACTTTTCAATAGGGCCATTTTGTAAGGAAGTGAGAAAGAGAGTACCTCGCAACATGTTGACAAGCGATCTGAAAAATTACTGTACATTTTTCTACTGAATGTACACCATAATGTTTCTGGAAAGTCATTTTGAATAAAGTGTAATGGAGGAAGTAGCACATGATGCCTTCAGAAGCCCCATAAGCCGTGTTTCTTAATTACTGCTTACAACCATCTCTCTTGCGTTATATTGTGACAGGAATTATCGGACCCTCTCGAAGCGTTACGGCGCTGGAGGCAGCCAAGATTCTTAATGATTCCGGAATACCAATGATCAGTCCGTCGGCAACAGCAGCTGATCTCACACTCAACTACACAAACTTCTACCGTACAGCACTACCGGACACAGTCCAGATCAGGGTGAGTAGCATTACGTTACTAAGTCCAGATCAGGGTGGGTAGCATTACGTTACACAGTCCAGATCAGGGTGAGTAGCATTACGTTACACAGTCAAGATCAGGGTGAGTAGCATTGCGGTACACAGTCAAGATCAGGGTGAGTAGCATTACGTTACACAGTCCAGATCAGGGTGAGTAGCATTACGTTACACAGTCCAGATCAGGGTGAGTAGCATTACGTTACACAGTCCAGATCAGGGTGAGTAGCATTACGTTACATAGTCAAGATCAGGGTGGGTAGCATTACGTTACACAGTCCAGATCAGGGTGAGTAGCATTACGTTACACAGTCAAGATCAGGGTGGGTAGCATTACGTTACACAGTCAAGATCAGGGTGAGTAGCATTACGTTACACAGTCAAGATCAGGGTGGGTAGCATTACGTTACACAGTCCAGATCAGGGTGAGTAGCATTACGTTACATAGTCAAGATCAGGGTGAGTAGCATTGCGGTACACAGTCAAGATCAGGGTGAGTAGCATTACGTTACACAGTCCAGATCAGGGTGAGTAGCATTACGTTACACAGTCCAGATCAGGGTGAGTAGCATTACGTTACACAGTCCAGATCAGGGTGAGTAGCATTACGTTACATAGTCAAGATCAGGGTGGGTAGCATTACGTTACACAGTCCAGATCAGGGTGAGTAGCATTACGTTACACAGTCAAGATCAGGGTGGGTAGCATTACGTTACACAGTCCAGATCAGGGTGAGTAGCATTACGTTACACAGTCAAGATCAGGGTGGGTAGCATTACGTTACACAGTCCAGATCAGGGTGAGTAGCATTACGTTACACAGTCCAAATCAGGGTGAGTAGCATTACGTTACACAGTCAAGATCAGGGTGAGTAGCATCACGTTACACATTCAAGATCAGGGTGAGTAGCATTACGTTACACAGTCAAGATCAGGGTGAGTAGCATTACGTTACACAGTCCAGATCAGGGTGAGTAGCATTACGTTACACAGTCAAGATCAGGGTGAGTAGCATTACGTTACACAGTCCAGATCAGGGTGAGTAGCATTACGTTACATAGTCAAGATCAGGGTGGGTAGCATTATGTTACACAGTCCAGATCAGGGTGAGTAGCATTACGTTACACAGTCAAGATCAGGGTGGGTAGCATTACGTTACACAGTCAAGATCAGGGTGAGTAGCATTACGTTACACAGTCCAGATCAGGGTGAGTAGCATTACGTTACACAGTCCAGATCAGGGTGAGTAGCATTACGTTACACAGTCAAGATCAGGGTGAGTAGCATTACGTTACATCAAGATCAGGGTGTTACATCACGTTACACAGTCCAGATCAGGGTGAGTAGCATTACGTTACACAGTCCAGATCAGGGTGAGTAGCATTACGTTACACAGTCCAGATCAGGGTGAGTAGCATTACGTTACACAGTCAAGATCAGGGTGAGTAGCATTACGTTACACAGTCAAGATTAGGGTGAGTAGCATTACGTTACATAGTCAAGATCAGGGTGGGTAGCATTACGTTACATAGTCAAGATCAGGGTGGGTAGCATTACGTTACATAGTCAAGATCAGGGTGAGTAGCATTACGTTACACAGTCAAGGTCAGGGTGGGTAGCATTACGTTACACAGTCAAGATCAGGGTGAGTAGCATTACGTTACACAGTCAAGATCAGGGTGGGTAGCATTACGTTACACAGTCCAGATCAGGGTGAGTAGCATTACGTTACACAGTCCAAATCAGGGTGAGTAGCATTACGTTACACAGTCCAGATCAGGGTGAGTAGCATCACGTTACACAGTCAAGATCAGGGTGAGTAGCATTACGTTACACAGTCAAGATCAGGGTGAGTAGCATTACGTTACACAGTCAAGATCAGGGTGGGTAGCATTACGTTACACAGTCCAGATCAGGGTGAGTAGCATTACGTTACACAGTCCAGATCAGGGTGAGTAGCATCACGTTACACAGTCCAGATCAGGGTGAGTAGCATTACGTTACACAGTCAAGATCAGGGTGAGTAGCATTACGTTACACAGTCCAGATCAGGGTGAGTAGCATTACGTTACACAGTCAAGATCAGGGTGAGTAGCATTACGTTACACAGTCAAGGTTAGGGTGAGTAGCATTACATTACATAGTCAAGATCAGGGTGGGTAGCATTACGTTACATAGTCAAGATCAGGGTGGGTAGCATTACGTTTCATAGTCAAGATCAGGGTGAGTAGCATTACGTTACACAGTCAAGGTCAGGGTGGGTAGCATTACGTTACACAGTCAAGATCAGGGTGGGTAGCATTACGTTACACAGTCCAGATCAGGGTGAGTAGCATTACGTTACACAGTCCAGATCAGGGTGAGTAGCATTACGTTACACAGTCAAGATCAGGGTGAGTAGCATTACGTTACACAGTCAAGATCAGGGTGAGTAGCATTACGTTACACAGTCCAGATCAGGGTGGGTAGCATTACGTTACATAGTCAAGATCAGGGTGGGTAGCATTACGTTACACAGTCCAGATCAGGGTGAGTAGCATTACGTTACACAATCAAGATCAGGGTGGGTAGCATTACGTTACATAGTCAAGATCAGGGTGAGTAGCATTACGTTACACAGTCCAGATCAGGGTGAGTAGCATTACGTTACACAGTCCAGATCAGGGTGAGTAGCATTACGTTACACAGTCCAGATCAGGGTGAGTAGCATTACGTTACACAGTCCAGATCAGGGTGAGTAGCATTACGTTACACAGTCCAGATCAGGGTGGGTAGCATTACGTTACACAGTCCAGATCAGGGTGGGTAGCATTACCTTACACAGTCCAGATCAGGGTGAGTAGCATTACGTTACACAGTCCAGATCAGGGTGAGTAGCATTACGTTACACAGTCAAGATCAGGGTGAGTAGCATTACGTTACACAGTCCAGATCAGGGTGGGTAGCATTACGTTACACAGTCCAGATCAGGGTGGGTAGCATTACCTTACACAGGCCAGATCAGGGTGAGTAGCATTACGTTACATAGTGCAGATCAGGGTGAGTAGCATTACGTTACATAGTGCAGACCAGAGGGGGTACAACTCTACCGGGCAATGTGTATATCTCACACAACCATACCCAGTGTATATCAGATTGAAACGCACAGAACCAGACACAGTGTATATCACATTGATACTGACACAGAGAGACAGTGTATATCAGATTGATACTCACACAACCAGACAGTGCATATCAGATTGATACTCGCACAACATGAAAAAGTGTATATCAGATTGATATTCACACCAGACACAGTGTATATCAGATTGATACTCACACAACCAGACACAGTGTACATGAGATTGATACTGACACAGACAGAGAGTGTATATCAGATTGATACTGACACAACCAGACAGTGCATATCAGATTGATACTCACACAACCAGACAGTGTATATCAGATTGATACTCGCAAAACAAGACACAGTGTATATCAGATTGATACTCACACAAGCAGACAGTGTATATGAGATTGATACCCACACAACCAGACAGTGCATATCAGATTGATACTCACACAGACAGAGAGTATATATCAGATTGATACTCACACAACCAGACAGTGTATATGAGATTGATACTCGCAAAACAAGACACAGTGTATATCAGATTGATACTCGCACAACATGAAACAGTGTATATCAGATTGATATTCACACCAGACACAGTGTATATCAGATTGATACTCACACAACCAGACACAGTGTACATGAGATTGATACTGACACAGACAGAGAGTTTATATCAGATTGATACTCACACAACCAGACACAGTGTAAATGAGATTGATACTAACACAACCAGACAGTGCATATCAGATTGATACTCACACAGACAGACAGTGTATATGAGATTGATACTCAAACAACCAGACAGTTTATAACAGATTGATACTCACACAACCAGACAATGTATATGAGATTGATACTCACACAAAGAGACAGTGTATATCAGATTAATACTCACACAACCAGACAGTGTATATCAGATTGATACTCACACAAACAGATACAGTGTATATCAGATTGATACCCACACAACCAGACACAGTGTATCAGATTGATACTCACACAACCAGACAGTGTATATCAGAATGATACTCACACAACCAGACACAGTGTATATCAGAATGATACTGACACAACCAGATACAGTGTATATCACATTGATACTGACACAGACAGACAGTGTATATCAGATTAATACTCACACAACCAGACACAGTGTATATCAGATTGATACTCACACAACCAGACACAGTGTATATGAGTCTGATACTCGCACAACCAGACACAGTGCATATCAGATTGATACTCGCACAACCAGACAGTGTATATGAGATTGATACTCACACAACCAGACACAGTGTATATCAGATTGATACTCACACTACCAGACACATTGCATATGAGAATGATACTCACACAACCAGACACAGTGTATATCAGATTGATACTCACACAACCAGACACAGTGTATATCAGATTGATACTCGCACAACCAGACACAGTGTATATCAGATTGATACTCACACAACCAGACACAGTGTATATCAGATTGATACTCACACAACCAGACAGTGTATCAGATTGATAACCACAGAACCAGACATAGTGTATCAGATTGATACCCACACAACCAGACAGTGTATATCAGATTGATACTCACACAACCAGACAAAGTGTATATCAGATTGATACTCACACAACCAGACACAGTGTATATCAGATTGATACTCACACAACCAGACACAGAGTATCAGATTGATACTCGCACAACCAGACACAGTGAATATATCAGATCGACTTTCAAACATAGCCCAGATAAGAGGTAACTCAATCCAACAAACTGTCCGCGAGGTGTCTGTTCAACTATTGCTTCAGTGACTTTTCTTGTGTTGTTGTCAGCCGATATTGGACATTCTCAAGACGCTTGACTGGACCTACGTGGCTTTAGTGCACAGTGACGACATTTATGGTCGGTCGGCTGCTACCTTGTTAAAGACAGAGGGAAGAAAGAATGGAGTCTGTTTCATTAAGTCTGTGGAGGTGCCCCCAATTGTGGACAGGCCGGCTCTGTTTGCCGAGCTGCGGCAAGTGAAAGAGGCAACAGAAGACAAGCACCTGGCAGTTGTGTACTTCGGCTTGCGAGACGGGGCCAAGGATATCATGACGTACTACGCCAAGGAGAAGATGACAGGCTTCTACTGGTTGATGTCGGACTCCGTGGGAAGAGTGTACGACGTTTTTAATGGCAACGATAGAGTGACATTAGGGACGTTGACTCTGTCGCCATCACATGTTGAATTTGACGAATTAAACGTTTTCTGGTCCAAAATTAAAGATTCTACACCTCTGTTCAGGGAGTATGGGCGCCAAGCAAACAGTGGCGAGTTATTTGCGACCCAGTCAGACTATGTAGGAGCCACAGTCGATGCCACTTACGCATATGCTGTTGCTTTAAAGAACGCCATTTCTCACCTCTGTGAAGACACTTCTGAGCCCTTGTGTGCAGCAGTAGTAGAGGAAATCAAGGGAAATCGGTTTGGAAGTTACTTGAAAAAGGTAGATGTCAACTTCACAGCTTTGCCGGACTTGTTTGTCCCGCCCGAATATGCAGCTCAGCGACGTCACTTTTCCTTCAAAAAAGAAACTGGAGACATCCTCCGAGGGCCCGAGACTGTGCTGTATCACGTCAATGCTGTCACGGCAGGCAATCAGGTAACGTGCTGTCGTTTTACTCAATGCGTCACGTATCAAAAGCTTACATATGTAAGGCAGACAAGCAGGTAACATGCTATCATTTTACTCAATACGTCACGTATCAAAAGCTTACATATGTAAGGCAGACAAGCAGGTAAAATGCTGTCGTTTTACTCAATACGTCACGTATCAACAAGCTTACATATGTAAGGTAGACAAGCAGGTAAAATGCTGTCGTTTTACTCAATACGTCACGTATCAACAAACTTACATATGTAAGGCAGAGAAGTAGGTAACATGCTGTCGTTTTACTCAATACGTCACGTATCAACAAGCTAACATATGTAAGGCAGACAAGCAGGTAACATGCTATCATTTTACTCAATACGTCACGTATCAACAAGCTTACATATGTAAGGCAGACAAGCAGGTAAAATGCTGTCGTTTTACTCAATACGTCACGTATCAACAAGCTTACATATGTAAGGTAGAGAAACAGGTAAAATGCTGTCGTTTTACTCAATACGTCACGTATCAACAAACTTACATATGTAAGGCAGAGAAGTAGGTAACATGCTGTCGTTTTACTTAATACGTCACGTATCAACAAGCTTACATATGTAAGGCAGACAAGCAGGTAACATGCTGTCGTTTTACTCAATACGTCACGTATCAACAAGCTTACATATGTAAGGCAGACAAACAGGTAAAATGCTGTCGTTTTACTCAATACGTCACGTATCAACAAGCTTACATATGTAAGGCAGACAAACAGGTAAAATGCTGTCGTTTTACTCAATACGCCACGTATCAAAAGCTTACATATGTACTCGTCAAGTATTAACACGGTTATCTATGTATTCTTCAATTATTAACACTGTTACTTATGCACTCGTCAAATATCAAGACGTTTACATTTGTACTTGTCAAGTATCACAAAGGTTACATATGTACACGTCAAGTGGCAACATGAAGTGTAGCCCGCTGGTGTATATTCCCCACTTACTGTTCTTGCATTGTAACCTGTCTCTGATTGTACATAGTAACACAGGCTCCATAGTGGTTTTGTAATATAGGCTTTATAGTGCTGATGTAATATAGGCTTTATAGTGCTGATGTAAAATAGGCTTCATAGTTGTGTTGTAACACAGGCTTCATAGTGGTGTTGTAATATAGGCTTTATAGTGCTGATGTAATATAGGCTTTATAGTGCTGTTGTAATATAGGCTTTATTGTGCTGATGTAATATAGGCTTTATAGTGCTGTTGTAATATAGGCTTTATAGTGCTGATGTCATATAGGCTTGATAGTGCTGATGTAATATCGGCTTTATAGTGCTGTTGTAATATAGGCTTCATAGTGCTGTTGTAATAAATGCTTCATAGTGCTGTTGTAATATAGGCTTCATGTTGCTATTGTAACATAGGCTTCACAGTGGTGTTGTAATATAGGCTTCATAGTAGTGTTGTATTACAGTGGTTTTGTAATATAGGCTTCATAGTGGTGTTGTAATATAGGCTTCATAGTGGTGTTGTAATATAGGCTTCATAGTGCTGTTGTAATATAGGCTTCATAGTGGTGTTGTAATATAGGCTTCATAGTGGTGTTGTAAAATAGGCTTCATAGTTGTGTTGTAACATAGGCTTTATAGTTGTGTTGTAATATAGGCTTTATAGTGGTGTTGTAACAGGCTTTATAGTGGTGTTGTAAAATAGGCTTCATAGTGGTGTTGTAAAATAGGCTTCATAGTGGTGTTGTAATATAGGCTTCACAGCGCTGATGTAATATAGGCTTCATAGTGGTGTTGTAATATAGGCTTCATAGTGTTGTTGTAATATAGGCTTCGCAGTGTTGTTGTAATATAGGCTTTATAGTGCTATTGTAATATAGGCTTTATAGTGCTGTTGTAATATAGGCTTCATAGTAGTGTTGTATTACAGGCTTCATAGTGGTTTTGTAATATAGGCTTCATAGTTGTGTTGTAATATAGGCTTCATAGTTGTGTTGTAATACAGGCTTCATAGTGGTGTTGTAATATAGGCTTCGTAGTGTTGTTGTAATATAGGCTTTATAGTGCTGTGTAATATAGGCTTCATAGTGCTGTTGTAATATAGCCTTCATAGTTGTGTTGTAACACAGGCTTCATAGTGGTGTTGTTATATAGGCTTTATAGTGCTGATGTAATATAGGCTTCATAGTGGTGTTGTAATATAGGCTTCATAGTGGTGTTGTAACACAGGCTTCATAGTGCTGTTGTAATATAGGCTTCATAGTGCTGTTGTAATATAGGCTTCATAGTTGTGTTGTAATATAGGCTTCATAGTGGTGTTGTAATACAGGCTTCATAGTGGTGTTGTAATATAGGCTTCGTAGTGTTGTTGTAATATAGGCTTCATAGTGCTGTTGTAATATAGGCTTCATAGTAGTGTTGTATTACAGGCTTCATAGTGGTTTTGTAATATAGGCTTCATAGTTGTGTTGTAATATAGGCTTCATAGTTGTGTTGTAATATAGGCTTTATAGTGCTATTGTAATATAGGCTTCATAGTGTTGTTGTAATATAGGCTTTATAGTGCTATTGTAATATAGGTTTCATAGTGCTGTTGTAATATAGGCTTCATAGTTGTGTTGTAACACAGGCTTCATAGTGGTGTTGTAATATAGGCTTTATTGTGCTGATGTAATATAGGCTTCATAGTGGTGTTGTAATATAGGCTTCATAGTGGTGTTGTAATATAGGCTTTATAGTGCTGATGTAATATAGGCTTCATAGTGGTGTCGTAATATAGGCTTCATAGTGCTGATGTAATATAGGCTTTATAGTGCTGTTGTAATATAGGCTTCATAGTGGTGTTGTAATATAGGCTTCATAGTGGTGTTGTATTACAGGCTTCATAGTGGTGTTGTAATATAGGCTTCATAGTGGTGTTGGAATATAGGCTTCATAGTGGTGTTGTAATATAGGCTTCATAGTGGTGTTGTAATATAGGCTTCATAGTGCTGTTGTAATATAGGCTTCATAGTGGTGTTGTAATATAGGCTTTATAGTGCTGATGTAATATAGGCTTTATAGTGCTGTTGTAATATAGGCTTTATAGTGCTGATGTAATATAGGCTTTATAGTGCTGTTGTAATATAGGCTTCATAGTGGTGTTGTAATATAGGCTTCATAGTGGTGTTCTATTACAGGCTTTATAGTGGTATTGTAATATAGGCTTCATAGTGGTGTTGTAATATAGGCTTTATAGTGCTGATGTAATATAGGCTTTATAGTGCTGTTGTAATATAGGCTTTATAGTGCTGATGTAATATAGGCTTTATAGTGGTGTTGTAATATAGGCTTCATAGTGGTGTTGTAATATAGGCTTTATAGTGCTGATGTAAAATAGGCTTCATAGTTGTGTTGTAACACAGGCTTCATAGTGGTGTTGTAATATAGGCTTTATAGTGCTGGTGTAATGTAGGCTTCATAGTGGTGTTGTAATATAGGCTTCATAGTGCTGATGTAATATAGGCTTTATAGTGCTGTTGTAATATAGGCTTCATAGTGGTGTTGTAATATAGGCTTCATAGTGGTGTTGTATTACAGGCTTCATAGTGGTGTTGTAATATAGGCTTCATAGTGGTGTTGTAATATAGGCTTCATAGTGGTGTTGTAATATAGGCTTCATAGTGGTGTTGTAATATAGGCTTCATAGTGGTGTTGTAATATAGGCTTCATAGTGGTGTTGTAATATAGGCTTTATAGTGCTGATGTAATATAGGCTTTATAGTGCTGTTGTAATATGGGCTTTATAGTGCTGATGTAATATAGGCTTTATAGTGATGTTGTAATATAGGCTTCATAGTGGTGTTGTAATATAGGCTTCATAGTGGTGTTGTAATACAGGCTTCATAGTGGTGTTGTAATATAGGCTTCATAGTGGTGTTGTAATATAGGCTTTATAGTGCTGATGTAATATAGGCTTTATAGTGCTGTTGTAATATAGGCTTTATAGTGCTGATGTAATATAGGCTTTATAGTGATGTTGTAATATAGGCTTCATAGTGGTGTTGTAATATAGGCTTTATAGTGCTGATGTAATATAGGCTTCATAGTTGTGTTGTAACACAGGCTTCATAGTGGTGTTGTAATATAGGCTTTATAGTGCTGATGTAATGTAGGCTTCATAGTGGTGTTGTAATATAGGCTTTATAGTGCTGATGTAATATAGGCTTTATAGTGCTGATGTAATATAGGCTTTATAGTGCTGATGTAATATAGGCTTTATAGTGCTGTTGTAATATAGGCTTCATAGTGGTGTTGTAATATAGGCTTTATAGTGCTGTTGTAATATAGGCTTCATAGTGCTGTTGTAATATAGGCTTCATAGTTGTGTTGTAACACAGGCTTCATAGTGGTGTTGTAATATAGGCTTTATAGTGCTGATGTAATGTAGGCTTCATAGTGGTGTTGTATAGGCTTTATAGGTGTTGATGTAAATATAGGCTTTATAGTGCTGATGTAATATAGGCTTTATAGTGCTGTTGTAATATAGGCTTCATAGTGGTGTTGTAATATAGGCTTTATAGTGCTGTTGTAATATAGGCTTCATAGTGGTGTTGTAATATAGGCTTTATAGTGCTGATGTAATATAGGCTTTATAGTGGTGTTGTAATATAGGCTTCATAGTGGTGTTGTAATATAGGCTTTATAGTGCTGATGTAATATAGGCTTCATAGTGGTGTTGTAATATAGGCTTTATAGTGCTGATGTAATATAGGCTTTATAGTGGTGTTGTAATATAGGCTTTATGGTGTTGTAGGCTTTATAGTGGTGTTGTAATATAGGCTTTATAGTGCTGATGTAATATAGGCTTCATAGTGGTGTTGTAATATAGGCTTTATAGTGCTGATGTAATATAGGCTTCATAGTGCTGTTGTAATATAGGCTTCATAGTGCTGTTGTAATATAGGCTTCATAGTGCTGTTGTAATATAGGCTTCATAGTGCTGTTGTAATATAGGCTTCATAGTGCTGTTGTAATATAGGCTTCATAGTGGTCTTGGAACATCATAATGTAAAAGAGTGCTATAATATTTTATTCATAATGATGTTGTAGGTAAGGCTTCATATTGGTGTTGTAATGTATGCTCAAAGCGGCGTTGAAGCACTGTAATTTAATCTTAAAGGATTTCTGGCAATATATACTTCATAGTAGCATTGTAGTATATGCTTAACAGAATCGCTGTAGTTGTGGCTTCATAGCGTCGTTGTGGTAAAGATTAAATAGTGTCCTCGAGTAAAGATTAAATAGTGGCGCTGTGGTAAAGGTAAAATAGTGGCGCTGTGGTAAAGGTTAAATAGTGGCGTTGTGGTAAGGGTGAAATAGTGGTGCTGTGGTAAAGGTTATATAGTGGCGTTGTGGTAAGGGTGAAATAGTGGCGCTGTGGTAAAGGTAAAATAGTGGCGCTGTGGTAAAGGTTAAATAGTGGTGCTGTGGTAAAGGTAAAATAGTGGCGCTGTGGTAAAGGTAAAATAGTGGTGCTGTGGTAAAGGTTAAATAGTGGCGCTGTGGTAAAGGTTAAATAGTGGCTGTGGTAAAAGGTTAAATAAATAGTGGCGTTGTGGTAAAGGTTAAATAGTGGCGCTGTGGTAAAGGTAAAATAGTGGCGCTGTGGTAAAGGTAAAATAGTGGCGCTGTGGTAAAGGTTAAATAGTGGCGCTGTGGTAAAGGTTAAATAGTGGCGCAGTGGTAAAGGTTAAATAGTGGCGCTGTGGTAAAGGTTAAATAGTGGCGTTGTGGTAAAGGTTAAATAGTGGCGCTGTGGTAAAGGGTTAAATAGTGGTGCTGTGGTAAAGGTTAAATAGTGGCGCTGTGGTAAAGGTTAAATAGTGGCGCTGTGGTAAAGGTTAAATAGTGACGCTGTGGTAAAGGTTAAATAGTGGCGTTGTGGTAAGGGTGAAATAGTGGCGCTGTGGTAAAGATTAAATAGTGGCGCTGTGGTAAAGGTTAAATAGTGACGCTGTGGTAAAGGTTAAATAGTGGCGTTGTGGTAAGGGTGAAATAGTGGCGTTGTGGTAAAGGTTATATAGTGGCGTTGTGGTAAGGGTGAAATACTGGCGTTGTGCCAAAGGTTAAATAATGGCGTTGTTGCATAAAAGTTATAGTGGCATAACAATAACACTCCTATTGCAATAGCTACACACTATTGTTGTGACCTAATGTAATATCATCTTCATGGTTGTGTTTTTCAGTTTGTAAACGTCGGGAACTATTCTTCCAGGGGTTTGGAATTAAACCTCACATCTATCGTAATGAAAGACGGAGATAAAATTATGTCCAGCCCCTCTCTGCCGAGATCCATATGCGAAGGATACTGCAAACAATGTGTGGAATTTGGGACCATGCCAATGGTGTATGTGAAGGGAGACGTGTATTTGGTGGGGATATTCTCCATTCACAGTTCCGACCCAGATAACCCATTCAGGTGTGAGAAGTTCCGGAGTGTCTCCAGTGATACAATTGCCCTCGAGGCGTTCCTATATTCTGTTGAGGAGATGAAGAAAACAACAGGCCTCAAATTTGGTGCAGTTGCCTTTGATGACTGTTACAGTTCTGTCAGGCTGACCAGCATTATATCCGAGTACTTCTCCTCCATTGACGGACCGTCACAGAGATTCGGGCATCTTGTGCCACTGAACCAGACGGTGGCAGTTATAGGCTCCTTGTCCAGTGACTCAACTATTCCTCTAGCTAGATTCTTCAATGGACTAAACATCCCAGTCTTATCCTATGCAGCCTCCAGCCCCGACCTGGATGACAGGGTTAACTTCCCCAACTTCCTACGGACAGTTCCCAGTGACGTGGAACAAGCTAAGGCCATGGTGCAGATCATTATTGAGATGGGCTGGGAGTACGTCAGTTTGCTGTACGTTAGCAATAACTATGGCACAAAAGGAATGCTGGCGTTCCAGAAACACGCTCTCGCGGCAGGAATATGCGTCTCCAACCCTAAGAATATCAGTGAGAGTTCAAGCAGCGGGGTTGATCGGGAAGTTTTAGACGTGCTGGATGAACTCTTAATTGAAGACGCCCAGATTGTTGTGTTCTTTGGTATTGACACTCGTTTCAAGGACTTCATGAAGGCGGTCAACGACAAAGAACAATACGGAAAGTTTGTTGTCGTTGCCAGCGAAGACTGGGGAAACAAACAGTATATTCTGGAAAGTGGGAAGAGGGCAACACGGGGAGCAATCACGCTGAAGATACAACAGATGCTGGAACCTCCTTTCCCTGGATTCTCTGAATCCCTGCTGTCTAAAACCCCCGGAAACAACCAGCACAATCCCTGGTTCAAGGAATTCTGGCAAAGTCAGTTCAGTTGCAACATTCGTGGTGGCTTCAACAACATCAAAGAAAAGGAGTGTCCGGGGAGCAACAGTCTTACCAGCGACAATATGAAAAATCATCTCGACAACCAGCGCGTAAAACACGTGCAGTATGCCACATATGCGGCCGGGATAGGTGTTAGCAAGGTGAAGGCCACACTGTGTCGGGACTACGGGGACGTGTTTCCATGTCGTTTCTACTACGATTCGCTATACAGAACTAGAGTTTGGGAGACAATCAGAGAAGTGAAAAACCCACAGTCACAACTGCAGCCGTTGTTTGACAAAGACGGGAATGGGGTCATTGGGTTCACCATTTACAATGTACAAGCGGACGACAGTGAACAGACATATGTTGAGGTAAATAAATGCATGGAGTTTTATTGTCTTAATATATTGCAGATTCAGGTTGTTTCAAGGGGTGGTGCGGGTAACCCGGATACCAAGGACGGGTGGGTAATGAGTTGAACCCGGGTACCAGACTCAGTACCCGGACCAGTTATGATCATGTGGGAGCGGTGGGGTAGCCTAGTGGTTAAAGCGTTCGCTCGTCACGCCGAAAACCCGTGTTCGATTCCTCACATGGGTACAATGTGTGAAGCCCATTTCTGGTGTCCCCCTCCGTGATATTGCTGGAATATTGCTAACAGCGGGGTAAAACCATACTCACTCACTCACTCACTCACTCACTATGATCATGTGACTAATAGATTATACTATGTAATATGTTATTATTTCATGATTAAAAGGTTGTATTGTCTTTGAGGATTTAGACAAAATTTACAGTCGCTTCTTTTAAATATAATACATGATTACGATATTGAAATTTCGAAATTTTAGCCTCCGAGCTGAAAAATATATTGCCATTTCTTGCAAATTTGATGTCCGGAATTAACATTACGGGTATTCGGGTAGGATAGGGTAATAGGGGATGGGGTACCCGGGTAGAAAACTTGGACCCGTCCTAGCCCTAGTTGTTTCATATGTCACATTTGTGCGTTGTAAAACATTCTTTCTGGGAAGATTCTGTCGAGGTTCGAGTTTTGATAATAGTTTGGTGTCACGACTATGTTATTTTCTAATGCCAGTAGTGATGCGGAAGTACTATTTAGATTTGGAAGTCAGAATTTAGGAGTCAAGTGTCAGCTTAGAGTAATCCCTCATTTGTATGGCACGTTTTAAAATTTGCAAGGAGGAATGAAACATTTCGACAGCTGAACATTTTCCAACGAGCTAAAAACCATACTTAGAAACTGGACAAAGCTGGTTAAAAGAATGATGTTTAACATAGCGGATTCCTGCCCGACAGTGAGTGAGTTTTACGCAATTTTCCAGCAATATCACGGCGGAGGACACCAGACATAGGCTTCACACATTGTACCCATGTGGGGAATCGACAAACGGGTATTCTGCGTGAAGTCTCTAGGCTACCCCACCGCCCCCTGCCTGACAGTGTCATTCCATGTATAATATAGGTTACATTTGACCACTTCCTACATGGCATTGTAGACGTAGTCCTAGTAGCGTTTGGCCGTGGAAGCTAATTTTCGATTTTGTAGCTAGCGGCTGTTTATGTAAACACTTATATTTGGAACATATGATGCAGTTAGGTTTCAGCTTAGTTACTAGGACTATAAAGATTAAAGATGGGATGTGCATACAGTATATTGTCATCCAGTAATGATTTCATTATCATACAAAGGAACATTGTATATTTAGTATAGTAATTGAAGTTGGACACGTCCAAACGTCGCGTCTCCGATCAGCGATCGATCATCTTCCGTCCCATCTACCGTGAGATATCTTTGGCTGTGAATCAGTTAGTTCTTTTGGCTTTGGTTACGTTCTGAAAACGGCGAGTACAACACGGGGTTCTAACGCTGCTGTACCCCTTCATGTGACGGAAGCCGAAACTCTTAAAACTAACCCTAATTATAAAGTGTGTATATTGGTCAGCTCTATGTAAGTTGTGTGATATACAGTGTGTATATTGGTCAGCTCTATGTAAGTTGTGTGATATAAAGTGTGTATATTGGTCAGCTCTTTATAAGTTGTCTTGTATAAAGTGGGTTTACTGGTCAGCTATATGTAAGTTGTGTGATATAAAGTGTGTATATTGGTCAGCTCTTTGTAAGACTTATAAAGAGCTGACCAATATACACACTTTATATACACACTTAGTTGTCTTGTATAAAGTGGGTTTACTGGTCATCCATATGTAAGTTGTGTGATATGATGTGTGTATGCTACATGTGTATTCGTGTTTCATTAGTCGAGACTTTGTTTACCCCATTGATTGTGGCATGGCTCCCTCGACCGAAAGCTATGAATATATTAAGGACCAAAATAGCATTTGTTAATTTGACCATTGCCGTTATAATTTGTGATACTCACCAGGTCGGATCTTATGGAGGGAGTGGGCTGCGACTCGAGAAAGACAAGATAAAGTTCTACGACCATCTCGGTTACCCCACAGTCATCAGTGCTAAATGCAGTGGGAGTGTGTGTTCAGCGTGTGTGCGGCCGACAACTGCAGGACCAACGCTCGTACCGCAATCACAAAATGGTCCAGACACGACTTTCAGGGTGGCTGACATAATCATCATTGTCATTTTTGCGTTGTTTCTGATCCTCCTGCTGGTTGCCCTGCTGATTGCTTACAGATACCTCAGGGTCAAGGTTACAGGTAAATATTTGCAATCAGTGTCACAAATACATATCCTGTATAGTGTGGGTCTTACTGATGTGTTCTATCTGATGTCTTTACTCTAGTATCCTGTATAGTGTGGGTCTTACTGATGTGTTCTATCTGATGTCTTCACTCTAGTATCCTGTATAGTGTGGGTCTTACTGATGTGTTCTATGTGATGTCTTCACTCTAATATCCTGTATAGTGTGGGTCTTACTGATGTGTTCTATGTGATGTCTTCACTCTAATATCCTGTATAGTGTGGGTCTTACTGATGTGTTCTATGTGATGTCTTCACTCTAATATCCTGTATAGTGTGGGTCTTACTGATGTGTTCTATGTGATGTCTTCACTCTAATATCCTGTATAGTGTGGGTCTTACTGATGTGTTCTATGTGATGTCTTCACTCTAGTATCCTGTATAGTGTGGGTCTTACTGATGTGTTCTATGTGATGTCTTCACTCTAATATCCTGTATAGTGTGGGTCTTACTGATGTGTTCTATGTGATGTCTTCACTCTAATATCCTGTATAGTGTGGGTCTTACTGATGTGTTCTATGTGATGTCTTCACTCTAATATCCTGTATAGTGTGGGTCTTACTGATGTGTTCTATCTGATGTCTTCACTCTAATATCCTGTATAGTGTGGGTCTTACTGATGTGTTCTATGTGATGTCTTCACTCTAATATCCTGTATAGTGTGGGTCTTACTGATGTGTTCTATCTGATGTCTTCACTCTAATATCCTGTATAGTGTGGGTCTTACTGATGTGTTCTATGTGATGTCTTCACTCTAGTATCCTGTATAGTGTGGGTCTTACTGATGTGTTCTATGTGATGTCTTCACTCTAATATCCTGTATAGTGTGGATCTTACTGATGTGTTCTATCTGATGTCTTCTGATGTGTTCTCTTCAATATCCTGTATAGTGTGGGTCTTACTGATGTGTTCTATGTGATGTCTTCACTCTAATATCCTGTATAGTGTGGGTCTTACTGATGTGTTCTATGTGATGTCTTCACTCTAATATCCTGTATAGTGTGGGTCTTACTGATGTGTTCTATGTGATGTCTTTACTCTAGTATCCTGTATAGTGTGGGTCTTACTGATGTGTTCTATGTGATGTCTTTACTCTAGTATCCTGTATAGTGTGGGTCTTACTGATGTGTTCTGTGTGATGTCTTCACTCTAATATCCTGTATAGTGTGGGTCTTACTGATGTGTTCTATGTGATGTCTTCACTCTAGTATCCTGTATAGTGTGGGTCTTACTGATGTGTTCTATGTGATGTCTTCACTCTAATATCCTGTATAGTGTGGGTCTTACTGATGTGTTCTATGTGATGTCTTCTTCACTCTAGTATCCTGTATAGTGTGGGTCTTACTGATGTGTTCTATGTGATGTCTTCACTCTAATATCCTGTATAGTGTGGGTCTTACTGATGTGTTCTATGTGATGTCTTCACTCTAATATCCTGTATAGTGTGGGTCTTACTGATGTGTTCTATGTGATGTCTTCACTCTAATATCCTGTATAGTGTGGGTCTTACTGATGTGTTCTATCTGATGTCTTTACTCTAATATCCTGTATAGTGTGGATCTTACTGATGTGTTCTATGTGATGTCTTTACTCTAGTATCCTGTATAGTGTGAGTCTTACTGATGTGTTCTATTTCAGAGTATGCATTGACTCACGTCTTCTATATAATAATGTCCTATCTCGTGTGCTCTATAAATACCCATCTATGTTGCCAGGCTTGAGCAAAGATATACAGAGATATGCAGCGGTGAACAACGATCATATCTACCAGACGGTTTCCGAGAGGAGAGTGTACCAGAACCCAGCCGCAAGTCCACATCGCAGGACACCAACAACTCCCAACCATATCTATTTCGTGAATGGCAGCCATGACAGTCTGAATGAGCCTGGAGGACACGTGAACCAAGCATTTCGAGCAGACGACACCTCGTCCCAGCGAAATGCCAGTGGAGGAACCTCCACAAGCGCCGGGATCATGAACTCCACGAGCAGCTCTAGCCAGTCGCGACCAGTTGAAACCCCAGACACCCGCCAGAGAAGCACTTCCTTATCTCCATCTCACAGTGATCAGGTCGAGATGACGGATATCCGAAACAGAGTCTTACCAGGTGTACATGGAGTGCATGCAAACGGACATATCACCAATGGAGTTTTACCAAAGGTACTGCAACAACGACCTTCAACCTTACAGTTTCATCAGAATCCCAGATTTACTGACACTCAACGAGAAATGATTGATAACAGACAGACTTCAAATGTGCCTCCACACAGTACGAGTCCCGTTCTGAATCATCCAGACTTACACCATCTGCCTGAAACCTTCATGGGTTCGCCTTTGTCCTCATTGTCGCCAGTGAGTGATTCAGTCATTGACACAAACTCGTCCTTTTCGCAGGGGCCGCTCAGTCATCACACTTCGCCTGCAATGGCGTCCAATCCATCCATCTTGCAAAGTCTTGCCAATCAACAGGCTCTTCTTGAACAGCAAGCAGCACTAACCGCCCTTGAAGTGCAAAGACTACACCTCCTTCAGCAACACAGTGCTCAGCCTCCCTCCAACCCCTACATCCAACTGTCAGCTGCCGAGACAAGACCTCCCCTGCCACCTTTGCCAGATCAACAACACCTTAGTCCGGAGGACCAGCCAAGAGACAGACCCCGTCCGAGAACCAACCCCCAGCACATGGCCCCACTTTCTAGTAGATCGCATCATGGAAGTGTGGACTCCTTGAGATCCAGTGGACGATCCCGCCACCAAGTATCGCCAATGCGTAACCCTGCTGGTGAGAACATTCAGATGCAACCACTTGCACATGATTCCAGAATATCTCGAGTCTGATTGATCAAGTACCTTGCAAACTGTTGTCGGTACACTAGGGTATTTAACTGTGACAGCACAGCTATTGTGCATAGGCACAAAGCCCCGAAATGACCGGAATACATACCATGGAAATACTGCAGGCTTCATCTTATGGTGATTGCAAGTCTAACGTAGCAATCTGTGCTGTTAATACTCATTTGTTTACTAACATATTATTCCAGGAGGTTGTTCAGTGTTGAAGAAATACACGTCAATAATCTGACATAACGTACAAGTCCAGAAATGCTATTACCTTTCTTTGTGATACAGAGACAGCAGCACTGTGAACTGACGTATTTTTTGTGTTTCATCTACGTTGTGATATATTTTCTTTATTCTACATAGCGTTTACTTCAATTTCTTACTTATACAGTAACAATATGTTTGTTTTTGTTTATGGTTTAATAATGTTATTTTTGTTTGTTTATGGCTTATTAACTCTGTGTGTCGGAAGTGTGTTGAATACCCCAGTAAAGGAACACAACGTCAAGATGCTCATATGTGTGAGAATGTACAGTCTCCACACAAAACAACATTACGTCATCACTTTGAGCTTTGTGTTTCATCGTTTAAGCCGGGAAAGGCCTTTTGTGTCATCATTCGTTCATCCAGGTATGTTGGGCCACCCCATGACACTTCTATCTGGTACGTTGTCTCCTCATGACATTTGAACTAGGTATATTGTCTCATCATGACAACTGTGCTTGGTATGTTGTCTCATCAGGAAGCCTGTGATAGGTATGATGCGTTATCATGACACCTGTGCTAGGTATGGTGCGTTATGACACCCGTGCTAGGTATGGTGCGTTATGACACCCGTGCTAGGTATGGTGTGTCATCATGACACCTGTGCTAGGTATGGTGTGTCATCATGACACCTTGCTAGGTATGGTGTCTCCTCATGACACCTGTGCTAGGTATGGTGTCTCCTCATGACACCTGTGCTAGGTATGGTGTCTCCTCATGACACCTGTGCTAGGTATGGTGTCTCCTCATGACACCTGTGCTAGGTATGGTGTCTCCTCATGACACCTGTGCTAGGTATGGTGTGTCATGATGGCACCTGTGCTAGGTATATGTATAATGTGGTATCATTCATCGATATTGGGTAAGTTGCAAAATAAAAGTCGGGAGCACAGCGACATTTTTCTTGTTAAAAACATCTTACCTTGGCTATCGCAATCAGATCAAATATTCTTCCAATGTGAATATCCTAGCTGTGGTATGAAACTTGTACTGACCTCCATGTTGTAGTCCTCGGATTAACTCATTGACTTGATGACTAACATGCGCGCATTGTATATATCATTGCCATTCTCTCTCTCTCTCTCTCACACACACACACGACTGCCTTGTGTATGCGTGGAAAATGTACATTGGCACATATACCCTGTATATCACATATGGTTGTCTTCTACAAGAATGTGCCTATCACAGACTAAGATTTTTGTGTTCACGTATAGCAACAACGTATCGATTCAACGTTGAATGTGTATAATATGTTTAATAAGTTGGTAATGGATACCCGACTACATTCAGCTCCAGTAGATACTGTTCGTATTTTCCACTGAGTGTATTTCAAAACGTATCTATTTCACATTTCGTTAACGGACGTCGGATGTGTTTTGAAATACATTCGTAATAATAACAGTATCGAGAGGTTTCGTCATCTGTGCATCCTCCGCTTGCCCAAGATGAAATATTTTATGACACTTGTATATTTTCCTATTACGTGTGTAACAAGTCCTAACTGTGTGGTGTCATGCTAAACTACTGTGATGTATGAGAAGAAAGCACAACCAGGCTACAGGTTATAGGTGGCAATTATGACAACGGTATTTCAGTGAATATGACGCCATATCAGACATGTTGCCATGTAGACAGTACATGTCATATTGACAAAACACGTCATATTGACTGAACACGTCATATTGGCAGTACACGTCATATTGACAGTACACGTCATATTGACAGTACATGTCATATTGATAGAACACGTCATATTGACAGTACACGTCATATTGGCAGTAAAAGTCATACTGACAGAACACGTGATATTGGCAGTACACGTCATATTGACAGAACACGTGATATTGGCAGTACACGTCATATTGACAGAACACGTCATACTGACAGTACACGTCATATTGACAGAACACGTCATACTGACAGTACAAGTCATACTGAAAGAACACGTGATATTGGCAGTACACATCATATTGACAGAACACATCATACTGACAGTACAAGTCATACTGACAGAACACGTGATATTGGCAGTACACGTCATATTGACAGAACACGTCATACTGACAGTACATATCATATTGACATCCACATAAGGAGCGGTAAGATTGTCTTCAGAAGGCAGTTCGTCTGCTGATGGCGTGTTATAGTGTTGTCACCGTCACAAACCTGTTCCAAAGATGGATCTGCCGGATATAGTCTTGGGCCGGTGCCGTGACTCTTGGTCTTCCTGATCTTGGGCGGTCTTAGGCATGGTCTTGTCATTGTGCTGACGGTGGACTGGCTCTAACCCTGAAGGTTCTTGCCAACTGACATTGTGAAACACCATATTGGCCATACCAATCGCCCTGTCTCGATGCGTTTGCCTTAGTCTTGGCATATTCGGGGTGTTTTTTTGGCGACTGCATGCTTCCTCTGTCCAAAAATGATGCCCGTGCATTTGGACCAATGTCCAAAATTATGTTTTGCAAGTGGACGATTTGTACGAAGCTGCGTTGCTATCGGGACAATGCTCCATTTTTGCGTACGTTTTCTGCTTGAGTTCAAACCTGTAAAAGTGTTGTTTTTAAAAAAATACAATTACTTCAACAATAACTTTCTTTTGCTCGGTAGTTTTATTATATGTTTTGTATATTTTACAATATAATTGAGAGTTGCAGAATTTTTGGTTTTTAAGATTATTGAGATATTTTATAAATGTCACCATGTTGAATAAATTCGTACATTATATTGAACATTTTATATTGTGCAATTCATCTTCGATAGGCCACCCCTGCTAAAAATAGCATCACAACACCTATTTGTAAAAAATCCTGCAGTTTGTCTTCATATTCATATCGAAATTATCATAGCAGGGTCATGTAACTCTTGTCAATATTTTATTTACTTGCAGGAACATAAAATCCCCATGTTTAATCCAAATGTGAACAGGAAATTGAAAGAGTTGCCACCCCTTTTACTGACAGTGCTCCAGGCTGTGCTAGTCATCTGCAATAAAACGGGAGGCAACACTTTCAATTTCCTAAACCTAACCCTAAACCGAACCGGTTATAACAGTATGGGACTGGTTTAACCATGTAAGTGGCCAGCATATGTACTTCTGTCATTGTCTAATCCGGCATGACATGGAACTGTTTTAAACATGTAAGTGGACAGCATGTACCTCTACCATAGTCAAATCCAACATGACATGGAACTGTTTTAACCATGTAAGTGGCCAGCATATGTACTTCTGTCATTGTCTAATCCGGCATGACATGGAACTGTTTTAAACATGTAAGTGGACAGCATGTACCTCTACCATAGTCAAATCCAACATGACATGGAACTGTTTTAACCATGTAAGTGGCCAGCATATGTACTTCTGTCATTGTCTAATCCGGCATGGCATGGAACTGTTTTAAACATGTAAGTGGGACAACCATGTAAGTGGACAGCATGTACCTCTACCATAGTCTAATCCAACATGACATGGAACTGTTTTAACCATGTAAGTGGACAGCATGTACCTCTACCATAGTCTAATCCGGCATGACATGGAACTGTTTTAACCATGTAAGTGGACAACATGTACCTCTACCATAGTCTAATCCAGCATGACATGGAACTGTTTTAAACATGTAAGTGGACAGCATGTACCTCTACCATAGTCAAATCCAGCATGACATGGAACTGTTTTAAACATGTAAGTGGACAGCATGTACCTCTACCATAGTCAAATCCAACATGACATGGAACTGTTTTAAACATGTAAGTGGACAGCATGTACTTCTACCATAGTCAAATCCAACATGACATGGAACTGTTTTAAACATGTAAGTGGACAACATGTACCTCTACCATAGTCTAATCCAGCATGACATGGAACTGTTTTAAACATGTAAGTGGACAACATGTACCTCTACCATAGTCTAATCCAGCATGACATGGAACTGTTTTAAACATTTCAGTGGACAACATGTACCTCTCCTATAGTCTAATCCAGCATGACATGGAACTGTTTTAAACATGTAAGTGGACAACATGTACCTCTACCATAGTCAAATCCAACATGACATGGAACTGTTTTAAACTTGTAAGTGGACAACATGTACCTCTACCATAGTCTAATCCAGCATGACATGGAACTGTTTTAAACATGTAAGTGGACAACATGTACCTCTACCATAGTCAAATCCAACATGACATGGAACTGTTTTAACCATGTTAGTGAACAGCATGTACCTCTACTATAGTCTAATCCAACATGACATGGAACTCTTTTAAACATGTAAGTCGACAACATGTACCTCTACCATAGTCAAATCCAACATGACATGGAACTGTTTTAACCATGTTAGTGAACAGCATGTACCTCTACTATAGTCTAATCCAACATGACATGGAACTGTTTTAAACATGTAAGTGGACAGCATGTACCTCTACCATAGTCAAATCCAACATGACATGGAACTGTTTTAACCATGTAAGTGGCCAGCATATGTACTTCTGTCATTGTCTAATCCGGCATGACATGGAACTGTTTTAAACATGTAAGTGGACAGCATGTACCTCTACCATAGTCAAATCCAACATGACATGGAACTGTTTTAACCATGTAAGTGGCCAGCATATGTACTTCTGTCATTGTCTAATCCGGCATGGCATGGAACTGTTTTAAACATGTAAGTGGACAGCATGTACCTCTACCATAGTCAAATCCAACATGACATGGAACTGTTTTAACCATGTAAGTGGACAGCATGTACCTCTACCATAGTCAAATCCAACATGACATGGAACTGTTTTAAACATGTAAGTGGACAGCATGTACCTCTACCATAGTCTAATCCAGCATGACATGGAACTGTTTTAAACATGTAAGTGGACAGCATGTACCTCTACCATAGTCAAATCCAACATGACATGGAACTGTTTTAAACATGTAAGTGGACAGCATGTACCTCTACCATAGTCAAATCCAACATGACATGGAACTGTTTTAAACATGTAAGTGGACAGCATGTACTTCTACCATAGTCTAATCCAACATGACATGGAACTGTTTTAAACATGTAAGTGGACAACATGTACCTCTACCATAGTCTAATCCAGCATGACATGGAACTGTTTTAAACATTTCAGTGGACAGCATGTACCTCTACTATAGTCTAATCCAGCATGACATGGAACTGTTTTAAACATGTAAGTGGACAACATGTACCTCTACCATAGTCAAATCCAACATGACATGGAACTGTTTTAAACTTTCAGTGGACAGCATGTACCTCTCCTATAGTCTAATCCAGCATGACATGGAACTGTTTTAAACATGTAAGTGGACAACATGTACCTCTACCATAGTCTAATCCAGCATGACATGGAACTGTTTTAAACATGTAAGTGGACAACATGTACCTCTACCATAGTCAAATCCAACATGACATGGAACTGTTTTAAACATGTAAGTGGACAGCATGTACCTCTACCATAGTCTAATCCAACATGACATGGAACTGTTTTAAACATGTAAGTGGACAGCATGTACCTCTACCATAGTCAAATCCAACATGACATGGAACTGTTTTAAACATGTAAGTGGACAGCATGTACCTCTACCATAGTCAAATCCAACATGACATGGAACTGTTTTAACCATGTAAGTGGCCAGCATATGTACTTCTGTCATTGTCTAATCCAGCATGGCATGGAACTGTTTTAAACATGTAAGTGGACAACATGTACCTCTACCATAGTCAAATCCAACATGACATGGAACTGTTTTAACCATGTTAGTGAACAGCATGTACCTCTACTATAGTCTAATCCAACATGACATGGAACTGTTTTAAACATGTAAGTGGACAGCATGTACCTCTACCATAGTCAAATCCAACATGACATGGAACTGTTTTAACCATGTAAGTGGCCAGCATATGTACTTCTGTCATTGTCTAATCCGGCATGACATGGAACTGTTTTAAACATGTAAGTGGACAGCATGTACCTCTACCATAGTCAAATCCAACATGACATGGAACTGTTTTAAACATGTAAGTGGACAGCATGTACCTCTACCATAGTCAAATCTAACATGACATGGAACTGTTTTAACCATGTAAGTGGACAGCATGTACCTCTACCATAGTCTAATCCGGCATGACATGGAACTGTTTTAAACATGTAAGTGGACAACATGTACCTCTACCATAGTCAAATCCAGCATGACATGGAACTGTTTTAAACATGTAAGTGGACAGCATGTACCTCTACCATAGTCAAATCCAGCATGACATGGAACTGTTTTAAACATGTAAGTGGACAGCATGTACCTCTACCATAGTCAAATCCAACATGACATGGAACTGTTTTAAACATGTAAGTGGACAGCATGTACTTCTACCATAGTCAAATCCAACATGACATGGAACTGTTTTAAACATGTAAGTGGACAACATGTACCTCTACCATAGTCTAATCCAGCATGACATGGAACTGTTTTAAACATGTAAGTGGACAACATGTACCTCTACCATAGTCTAATCCAGCATGACATGGAACTGTTTTAAACATTTCAGTGGACAGCATGTACCTCTACTATAGTCTAATCCAGCATGACATGGAACTGTGTTTTAAACATGTAAGTGGACAACATGTACCTCTACCATAGTCAAATCCAACATGACATGGAACTGTTTTAAACATGTAAGTGGACAGCATGTACCTCTACCATAGTCTAATCCAGCATGACATGGAACTGTTTTAAACATGTAAGTGGACAACATGTACCTCTACCATAGTCAAATCCAACATGACATGGAACTGTTTTAAACATGTAAGTGGACAGCATGTACCTCTACTATAGTCTAATCCAACATGACATGGAACTGTTTTAAACATGTAAGTGGACAACATGTACCTCTACCATAGTCAAATCCAACATGACATGGAACTGTTTTAACCATGTAAGTGGACAGCATGTACCTCTACTATAGTCTAATCCAACATGACATGGAACTGTTTTAAACATGTAAGTGGACAGCATGTACCTCTACCATAGTCAAATCCAACATGACATGGAACTGTTTTAACCATGTAAGTGGCCAGCATATGTACTTCTGTCATTGTCTAATCCGGCATGACATGGAACTGTTTTAAACATGTAAGTGGACAGCATGTACCTCTACCATAGTCAAATCCAACATGACATGGAACTGTTTTAACCATGTAAGTGGCCAGCATATGTACTTCTGTCATTGTCTAATCCGGCATGACATGGAACTGTTTTAAACATGTAAGTGGACAGCATGTACCTCTACCATAGTCAAATCCAACATGACATGGAACTGTTTTAAACATGTAAGTGGACAGCATGTACCTCTACCATAGTCAAATCCAACATGACATGGAACTGTTTTAAACATGTAAGTGGACAGCATGTACCTCTACCATAGTCTAATCCGGCATGACATGGAACTGTTTTAAACATGTAAGTGGACAACATGTACCTCTACCATAGTCAAATCCAGCATGACATGGAACTGTTTTAAACATGTAAGTGGACAGCATGTACCTCTACCATAGTCAAATCCAGCATGACATGGAACTGTTTTAAACATGTAAGTGGACAGCATGTACCTCTACCATAGTCAAATCCAACATGACATGGAACTGTTTTAAACATGTAAGTGGACAGCATGTACCTCTACCATAGTCAAATCCAACATGACATGGAACTGTTTTAAACATGT